TCAGAATTAGCTGAAAGGACATCAGAGAAGAGCAGTGAGAATTTGACAGCAAGAGGTCCCTAGTATGTGAAGTGGAATTACATGATTGATTGAAGGTGCAGATAGTTCCGTTTATTACATAGTCTCAAGCCAGCTATAAGAGTTTTGTGGTATGTGGTGTTTTGTGGGGTTTTTTTTCTTTTCTGGTACTCTTTTAGGAAAATTACTTCCTTGATCATGTTTGTTTCTGGGGTCCACTGTAAAAATTCATTTGTAATAACAAGACCCTTCAGGCACAAACTATCACATCTTGTCTCTGTTTTTATCTATAATGAAGACATATTGGGAATCCATTAGAAACCTACCAGAGCTCAGAGAACAGCCTTGTCATTACTGGAATAGGATGTCCAGGTCAGCAATCTAGGTTAACAGGACTGCCGTTTGGAAAGGCAGCTTTTAAAAATAAATCATGGATTAGTGTCCTGATAAGACTGTACAGAGCAGGTAAGGCTGCACTTCTAGACCGCCCTGTTTGCACACATCTCTGGTTTGGGACTCACAGACTTTGCTCGGAAGTCCGTGTTCACTAACGGGATGACTGCCGGAGGCCTGCAGAGGCCTGAGTCCGTTGGTCACTCGGCAGTCTTGATCTGAGGTGTTTCAGTGGTGGAATCCTCAATCTCCACTCAGAAAACAGAAGTTTCATTCCTGGTGGATGCACCTCGTATGCACGAAGCTTCATGTTGCTGTAATGCTGTGCAGGTTTCAGTGACGCTTCAACGGACAAGGAGAAAAGGCCTGGAAAGCGGCTTCCAAAAAGAAGTCAGTGACAACCCCGTGGATCTCTAGAATCTGACCTTCACCCTATCGCGGGGTTGGCACTTCACTCCCTTGTGTCTGGGGTCACCGTGAGTCAAAGATGGCAGCAGCGACAATATGGAAAACAGTGGTGGAGCAACTCTGATCCCATGCATTGTATGTCCCAGTGGCTGCATATTTTAATATTTGTTTTTCTTTTTCTGACTGTATTCTCTCTGCCTCTCCCTCACCTTCCCAAAACCTCCTCTGTCAGGGGGATTTACCACTCCAGGATGTGACAACATGGAAAGTGGAAATTCCCTGTAAGATTCAGGCAGAACTTGAAAGTAACAAAGCATGGAAGAAAATAAGGTGAGAGAAGAGTTTTTTCCACTTCTCCCTTGCCCTCCTCCTCCTCCCCACCTACTCACAGAAAGGAACAACAATTGGCTGGAAATAGGTGATGAAGAGGTTGGGGGGAAGGATGCTGGGATAGGTACTTGGACAAGGCATCCCAGCAGCCCCCGGGATGGACTATAGATATGCCCAGGTGAGTCATCCTCAGAGTTGGATGAATAGGAGACACTAGTGAGCTCCTCATCAAACTTGAGTCTGTGCACAGAGACAATGGTCGTTTCTGTCATGACCCAAAGGACAAATGACCTTGAAGCACCTCATCTCAAATTTTCCCCAAATCATCATCTTTCTGCCTGTCTGGTGAGACCTGATCCTAAAAGGGAAATGAAGTTCAGGTGTGTGAGGTCAAGGAACTAGTTTCACCCTCTGTGGAGTGGTCTATGTCCTTGGCTCTGGAGAAATAACCCCGGAGTACCTTGGTCTCTGGCGGCCTAGTGGTACGAAGCTGCTCTACAATTCCAAAGGGACGTGGTTCAAAACTGCCAGTTGCTCTGTGAGAGAGGGATAGACAATCTTTCCCTGTGCAATTAACCACCTCCGAAAACCCATCAGAGTCAGCTATGAGTCAGTTCCAATTTGGCAGTACACACACAAGAAGATTTCTTCAGAATCCCCCATTCAAGGGTTCCACAAGTGTGCTGTCATACTGCTCCATGCCAGCAGGTGCTGTGCGTGCACTCTGAGAGTCCGATTTGCAAGGACCAGCAATTAATTGTATTACAAAGGAAATAATGACACCTAGAGACAGCTAGGTATTGCCCACCACACGGTACACAACAACAGCAACCATGGTCTACACTGGGTAAAGTGCAGGGTCAGTGAAACAGAGGAAAACCCTCAATGAGAGGGCTTGACCCAGTGACTGCATGGATGGATTCAGCCATGGTGGAGATTGTAGGGAGGGTGCACATATGACAGGGTCTCCATTTGTTGTTCAGAGGATTGCTGTGAGTTGTACCTGACTTGACAGCAAAAAAACCCAACCAGCAGCAGACTTGATAAAGACTTCTACAGCACATCTGAGAAACTGCAGTGCCACTAGGGCTAGCGAAACTACAAAAAGAGACAGCTGGGGGACTGGTCTCAGGAGGCACGATTCAGCCTTTCATGTCTGATTGACAGAGAAAAGCCCAGAACACCAAGGCCCACAGTTTCCTGGCTGATGAGAACCTCAGCTCTCAGGAAGACAGCAGTCTCCTTGGAGGACAGAAGGGTCAGGTTGGGAGCACTACTTAGCTCTGCATTTGTATCCACTTCACTACAACAAATCAGCCTATCGTAGGGCTGGCACAGGAGAGCAAGGTAGTAAACCTTGTGAATTCTATAAATAATCCTGCAAATAATCAAACCTAAAAGGGCAGTAGGGACATCAGGTAAGAATGTTAAAGGTGTCGTGTGGACTCTGAGCTTACGGCTGACATTCTACAGGGAGAATGGGAAGTCGACTTCAAATCCGTAACCGTATCAGATAAGGGTGTCACATAGCTCCCACCTGCTTGCAGCTAGCATCCACCTATTTGGCAGGATGAAGGAGTGTGTATATCCAACTGGCACAGGAGGAGATTGCCCCGCCTTCTCCAGTGGAGACGCTGGTGGATTTGAACCTCACGCCTTCAGGATTGCAGAGCAGCTTCTTTTCACTAGACCACCAGAACTCCCTGGACTGTGTCCTTTTAACATGAGCTCTGACCCAGCTCCAAGTGGCGGGAATCAGAGAGAGAAATGGTAGCATAGTAGTGAGAACGTGAAGACTGGATGTTGGAGACTAGATTCATGGAGAGGGGAGAGGATTGTGACTGTTTCTGCATATTTTATTTTATACTCAAGACTCCAGGCAGAAAGAATAAGCAATCAGGCTGGAAACAAACTGCTTGATTCTCACATGAGAGTGCAAATTATCAGAATAATTTCATCAAAGAAGTGTCATTAAACTGGCTCTGTCAAACCCTCCCCCCGCCCCAGGAAAGGTGTGTGGAATACAGAAATATGTATTTCTGCATAAAAAAATATTGGTGTAGCATGTGTACACACACAAATATTTTTTTAAAAGATTAGGGAGCACACACGCTTTCTCATTGGCACCGGGTCAGAACCGACTCATCGCGGACTCCGGAGAGTGGGTTTTCAGCGGCTGTAAATAGCTCGGGAGGAGGCTGCCTGTCTTCTTCACACAGAGCAGAACTGCCTTTTGGTTTTGTAGTGAATCTCCTCACACACTAGACCACCAGAGCTCCCTCAGGTGACAATGGGCCCCCAAGGCCAGCAGAGCTCCCTTAGGTGACAGTGGTTAAGGCTGGTGTATGATTTGGGAATGAATAAGGGTTTTTGAATTTTTTTTTTTTAAATTTCGTATGTGTGTACCGTCAAATCAGATCTGACTGGTACAGGAGGAGACTGCCCCTCCTTCTCCAGCACAGCATCTGGTGGATTCAAACTGCATGCCTCTGAGATTGCAGTGCAGTTTCCTGCTACTAGGCCACCAAAGCTCCCTTCAAAATGGTGTTTTGTGATATAAAGTTTCACATGAAGAAAAAAAAAATACTAATACCAAAAGTAAAGCATGTGCTCCAAATCATTATTCAATATCAAGGTATGGAGATCACCATAAAAAGCCTTCTCCGACTTGGGTATGAATCATGTGCAATCATGCTAAAATGCAGGTTCAGGCTCAGTCATCTGGTTGAGGATTAACGTTTTTCAATTCTCATGGGCTCTCAATGATGCTACTGGTTCCCAGAACACACTGTGAATAATGAGGCACTAAGAGGCCTCAAATGGGCTGAGGATGATAAAGGATAGGACAGGGTTCAGATCTGTTGCTCAAATGGCAATATGCGACTTGATGGTACCTAGCAACAATACCACCACCAGTCTAGTACAGAGGAAGTGCTGGGGTATAGTCCATGGAACTGCACTGCTACCCCAAAGGCCACGGCCTCCGTGCCAGTTCAAATCCGCCAGTGGTTCCTTAGGAGACAAATGGGCAATCTTCTCTTGTGCAACTTTTAGCCCTTTTCTTTGTGAAACCCACTGGAGGGTCAGCTGTGAGTTGGTTTCAACTCCACGGCAATGAGGTTTTAGGTGTAAGATTAAACTGGATAGAAACCTGGGTTGCTGCCGACAGTTTGTATACCCAGCTGCTAACGTTGCCAGGGTAAGTCTACCCAGAGGCACTTCAGAACAAAAAAGCTGAGAGTTCTTCTGAACTCAGCCACCGAAAACTTGAGGGCTCACAGTTCTACTATGACATGTAAGGTGTCACCCCAACAGCAAGGGTGCGCCTCTGAAGGGAGAAACGCTTCTCCTCGGGGCAAGACAGGAAGGAGAAAGCCTTTTCACCTGAGGGTAAGGGTGATATAGTGAGATCTGAAAGAGGTCATAAATTCTGAAAGGGAAAGGGTGCCAATGATCTGTTTACCTTTTTTTGTGATTCTGTGGTGAGCTGAGGGGTCCCTGTGGCACGCTGGATTAAGTGAAGTTGCTGACCAGAGTCAACAGTTCCATCTACCGCTCTATGGGAGAAAGCTGAGCCAGTCTCCTTAAAGACTGACAGCTTTGGAAGCCCTGAGGGGCAGTTCTATCCTGTGGGGTCGTTGTGAGTTTCCATGGGATGGTAGCAAGCCCCCAGGGACAAAATGTGAAAGCAGATCTTAATGCCATCACAGTCATTAAATCCCCCCGAATTTTCTCCCATGTGTTCTTTTCCACCAACCACCACCACTCATTTGCCCACCATCTAAAAAACAAACAAACAAACAAACAAACAAAAAACCCAAAAAAAACCACAACGCCCTGGGCTGTCCAGACACATTTCAATATTTTTATTGTTTGACAGGCATTTACAACGTTCCATTCATAGACCTAAAAACATAAAAATAGACCTTCTTTCAGCTTATAAAAGAAATATATAAGAACTTTGGACATAGACACGTCATGACCTTATGTACAAGAGACAATGGCACCCTCTCCAAGCACCAGACTTTCCAGTATTTCCAAACGCCCCCATTGCACTGGGACTAGGGGATGCGATGTTAGAAGCCTCTGTTTCCGTTATCCATCCGGACACAATCGAACCGGAGATGACATGGAACAATGCAGTGATACAAAGGGTATAGAAACCATTCTAAAGCTTTTAGGAAAACCAGAAGATATAGCAAAAATTTAATAGAATAAAACTTTCAAAAGATCAAGCTCAAAGCCCTGGAGACCCGAAAGGGGAAGGGGAGAGGGCGGGGAAGCAGGGGAAGCAAGCAGGAGCACAAGAGCGTGATGTTCTGAACTCTCTCTATCTGGAAATATAAAGTCATAACTGATTCTTATAAAATATAATTCCTAAAGCTACTATAAAATTCAGGTCTTTAAAGTACCTACTGATGTGTCAAACACCAAATAGATAATTTTTTCCCCAAAAAAGAAAAGTTTACATATTATTGAAACCCTTCTTAGGAAGTGGACATTGTGAAATGGGGAGAGAGAAAAACCAAAGAAAAGCTATAAACCCTTTTTATTTTTAATTAATAAAAAAATTGAAAGTGCTATCATTTTTGTTCTTTCTTCATTGGAAATCGGTTTAGCATGTTAGGTATTCTCATGTTTACCCTGTTTCGTTGGCATGAAGAAAGTGTGAAACTCAAAGAGATGTCTTTGAACAGGTTATTTTGCTAAGAGGTTTGGTTGTAGACTGTCAGGGGAGGAGTGGGTCATCTATGGATGAAGATGCCGTGTGGATGGGAAAACTAATGATCACCATGGCAACCCCAGAAGGAGGCTCCCTCTGCCCTGCCCCTGCCATGTGCAACAGACATACACACTGCTCATTCGGTGTCCTGTTTAATCCAACCAAATTCCCATCTCAAATATAGAATCCAAGAGGTTTTTTTTTTAAAAAAAAAACAAACAAACAACAAAACATCTTCCTAGGGGAAAAAAGTAAACACTAAGCATGAGTTTCTTGTTGGCCTTTTATATATAAATATAAAATCACTACACCTCACTCTCTCTGTAAAAGATAATATCCTCATTTTTTTCCCCAAGTCAGAGTTACATGAACACTGTAAAATTCTCACCTGTTTGTGCCCCTGCATCTCAGGTAAAATATAAAAAATAGTGAGTTTTCTTTTTCTCTTTCTATTTTTCAAGTGATAAATTTGGATCTCTTTGCAAAGTTTGGCATCTTTATAATTCTATGCAAAACTAGAGCTTCCGAACACTGACACTAAAGACCAGCCAGAGACTTAAACATGAAAAGAAAAAAGAAAACAAAAAAAAAAACAAGGCAAAAAGGCTCATCAAAACATAAATCTCCACCCTCTCCTCACACATCCCTAAAATACACAGATACTCGCAGACACTTACAAGGGAAAGGCGTTTCCTTTCATTGTGGGTTGGAAGGTGGACCCCCGACCTAGGAGATGACTCAGATTGGTTTTGGATACAATGCTTTTTCTTTTATTCTACACTGCCTGTGAACTCATCTGCTGTACATACTCCCAGGGCAGGAGGTGTTGGGGGGAGTGTAATTTTCTTTCCAGTGCTATAAATAATCTGTTGTGTTGTGTTGTTTTTTTTTTTTTTAATTCTTCAGGACCTGATTGATTGAGAATAAATAAAAGCCCTTGGAAATATACAGAAGAAAGGACTCGAGCTTATTTAGAATTTGGGACGATTCTTTTGGATGCTTTTGTGAGAAATGAATGACAAGGTCGGGTGGGCCACATGGCTTCGGAGCAAAGTCGGCTGCCCGAACCGTGTGCGCACGAGCGTGCGCAAGGGGGCGCTCCGGGGCAGGCGGGCGGAGCGAGGGCGGGGGTTCTATCTACACACTCGCACGGGAAGGGGAGCAGTCAGATCTCAGTGTTCAGTTTCCTGGAGGGGGCGAAGTCTTCGCGCCTGACCCAGATGACCTCCTCGCTCGTGCTCTCCAGGCCCCCATTGATGCCCGAAAGCGCCGCCTGCTTCTTGAGCTGCGTCATCCGGGACGCGTGAGTGTCCAGGGCTCTGCGGCCCCTCTCCCGCTGGCTGATGGAGGCGGCCTGCAGCCGCTCCTGCAGGTCTCTGTCCGCTGAGGCGCCCTTCGCCGACTCACAGAACTCATCGTCGTCACTGAGGATGTCTGTCTCCTTGATGTCCTCTTGCTCTTCATACTGAGCAAGGTCGAACTGCTCCTCCACCCAGCGGTCAGTGTCCCCGCCACCGGGCGGCTGCTGGGACTCTCGCTCTGGGCTGCCAGCGGAGACCGCATCCGAATCAATGGTAAACCTGTTTCGAGCCAGGCGCCGCCTCCTCCTCCCAAGAGACTTGCTTGGGGCGGACACTGCACACACACACAAAAATATAAAAATAAAACCCCCACGTGCTTTATGAGAGATGGAAATCCAGAAAGCAAATAAAAGGAAAGTTTAAAACCCAAAACAAAACAAAACCTACTACATGGTAAGCATTGTGTGCCTTGATTGCATTTGGGGTGAAAAGTTCAGATTTCACCAGTCCATCTTGGAATCATGGGCAACAGTCTTCACTTTGCACAGATGGCTGGACTTGGTGTTGTAACAATTGACTGGAGGGTGATGGGTATGGGCCACAAGAGAAGTTGTAGTTTAGCTTAGGGGGGAAATAAGATTTAACTCCCTCTGAGAGACCTTCTAGAGCTCTATGTAGCCTGTGAGCCTGGGAAACAGGTAACAGACTCCAGCTCCTCGGAGCAAACTCCTCACCTGGGATGAACTGGTGCCCCTGCACCCTGTTCTGAAGACTCCCTGGCTTCTCTGAAAGGTTCAAGTTTATGCTGCTTTGTGAGAAATTAAATGCAACATTTATTGAGAACTTGCCAATAAATTAAAGCACAACAGTCTACTGAGACAGGCCCTCAGATAATCTAGCTTCTGGTAGTCTCCCAGGCCCTTTTCTGACAAAATCCTTATATACAGTGAAGTGAAGCCAATGTGAGCCACAGGCTCTCCTTGACTGTGTTCTGTGCACCCTTCTCTTCACCAAAGCAATTTAAATGTCAGTGAGTCGGCAAAGGGGGGGGGGGCAGGGAATAGCATATGAAAGCCAAGCACTTGCTCAACCAAGTGCTATATAAAGTGACTGGAAATTAGGAATAATAAAACACATCTTTGAACTCATTCTTTCATCCTATTACCCTCTTAGGAAGCTAGAATTATTAAAAAATAAGCAAAAAAAGTTCAATCAACCAACCAAACAAGTCCACACACATACACAAAAGACAGCTTGCACGGAACAGCTGTAACTTCTCCTTACTAGTGAATTGGCTGTGACGTTCCAGATGAGAAGAGAATGCGGCATGGCATTCAAAGGGAGGGAGTTGGGGGGGGGGAACGGACCTACACCCAAAAACCATTAGATGAGTTCAGTACTTCTAGAAGTGAGGTGACTATTCTCAATGCACCAGGTACAACCTAGCAGGGACAAAGTCGGGGAGCTAGGCAAGGCCCACACTGGCCCCATCTGGGTATCCTCTGCCTGACAGGTTGCTGTACTCTCACCTGCATCCAGAATATTCCAACCTCTTAAGCATAGAACAAAGGGGAACCACCCTGGTTTAAGGAGGGAAATAAAAACCATTTCCAGGAAAATTGACTGGGGGGGAAATACAGGAGGGAGGAGAGCAAAAATCTTACTCTGCTGGGAAGAAACAAACTTCCTGTCTTAATTTATGTTAACCTCACCATGGTGGCATGTGAATGTTCTCTCCAATTACTATTTAAAGCTACTTCAAGTAAAAATTGGATTATTTGAAATATGTGTTACTGTTGAGGTCAAAATGGTGAAGTAGGCTTATATCTGAAACTTAAATGTGTCGAAAACCACAATGGATAGATGGATGATAAGTGGGATATGATCATGAAAACAAAATTATAGAATATATGTGGTAGGCATATTTACTATACGCTTCCCCATCTCTTTAGTGTTTAGAATGTTTCATGAAAAAAGGTTAGTATATTTATATGTACTTTCTCTATACATAGGCAGATAGCCAGTCTTTCAGGACTTAAGAGCCAGGATACCTAATGTTACTATTTTATCCAAACAGAAGAGAAATGAACAACTTGGATATTGATGACAATGCAAATGAAGCATGAATATCTGTCTCTGTTATTGAAAGGATGCTTAATAGCAGTCTGTCTGAGTTTTCCCCAGTCTCTCAGGAAGACAAATGTTGATATGAATCTTTCCAATATTTGCTGTTAACACAATCTGGCTAGTGCTTTGCTGCTCTACACAAAGCACCCTGTTAAAGTCATCTAACAGGAGACCCTGATGATAGTGAGGGATTAAAAATAAAGGAGAGGGGCAAATAATACTTTCTTCAGAAAAAAAAAAGCCATTAAGCAGAATATTTTTCCATCAAAGTCAACAATGACATCAAGGCATTATTAGCCTGACACGCATAAGGAAGGTATAGGCTGTGAGTTGGGTTGTTTTACTTTTGTTTGGGGATCCAAAGGGGTCTTGTTTGAAAACTTTGGAGCGTCAGACAGACAAACTATGCCTGGCTTAGAAGTAAATGCAGCTCTAGATTTGACTCCATGGATTAGTAACCAAAGATTAGCCAGTGACAGGCTGGCTTCTGGATGTTAAAATACATATTCCTTAACCTTATAAATATGCCCTGGCAAGCAAAGAGAACAGATGAGATAATTCTGAGAGGAAATTCTCCAGAGTAAGGTATCAAAGGACATGTGAATCTTGCTATATGGGAAGCCTGTGAGAAATAATGGGCAGGGAGGTATGGGAGCCTCAAGTGTACCTTAGAGGACCTAGCAGGGTCCTGGGTATTCACCACACTAAGTTTCGTTACTTATCAGTTGATTGGAGAGCAGATTTAAGGTAGCCAACCTTTTATCATTATTTAAATCTAAGGTGCTTAACAATGCAATAATCTCCTAACAATGCTACAGCTATAAAAACCTCCCACCATTCACAGTTCGTCTATACCTCTTCAACACAATGAAGAACAGGTGAGACGATAATAGGGACAAAGATCCAATTTTTGGCAAATGCAAAGGAAGTCACTTTGACTGGAACCCTCCCGCAAAATGTCAAGCTGCCTCTGAAGAAAGGAGTTCTAAAAAAGACTGACATCTTGATGCCATTCAATATATGAGTATTATGGAAAATATCTTTCTTCCTAGGAATAGTTTACTATTACTTGCAGGTGGTCATACTGACCCTCTTTCCTCACTGATCCAAAGTGTTAAGTCCTAAGGGAATTTTTATTCTGGGACTATGTACACTCTGGATTCCTCTTTGCTAGCAGTAACTCAAGGCTTCCTCAAATGAACAGAGAGATTAAATGTAAAGGGGCAGGCACAAGGCAAGTGTCAGAAGCTGCTGTGACAGCTGACCTCCCACACCTGGAACCCTTTCTGAGCAGGGTTCAGATGTGCTTCTGGGTGATGGAGCCGCCCTGTGCTCAGCATTGCAGGATGTGACCTCGCTGAAACGTGACACACTGCTTTTTTGCTAGACAAAGCTGGCTGTCATGCAAAGCAGCGGCTCTCATTGCGCAGGCAGCTAGGACAGCCCCGCCGGAGGACGCCCGCCTTCCCAGCTTGGCGAATGAGAGGAGCTCACCAGCCACAGGGAGGGGGCAGCAAAGGGCAGGCTTGGAGGGAGGGCGGAGTCACCACAGGGCAGATCCCCAGGGGGCCATCAGGACCAGAGGTAAAGGCAAGGACCCTCACTCCAAGGGGAACCCTAACCCTATGTGAGCCCACACAAGGACACCCCTACGTCCTGCTCAGCAAGGAGGTCAAGCTCGCTGAGTCCTAGAGTGGAGCGGGGGTGACGGGGATCTTGAACGTCTGAATCCCCACAGTACCTGCCCTGCTCATGGCTGGCCTGGCCCCTTTCAGTGCACACAATCTCTTTCCTCCGAAAGGGACATATTGCTGGGACGAGGGGAGGCTTTCGGTTTTGAGTAGCTGTCTTCTGTGCTTATCTCGCAGGATCGAATGCACTGCCTTCAGGAAATCCTTCCGGCTCTCTGGGGAGCTATGGAGAGAAGAGTTACATGTGTTAGGGGTGCAAATGTGACCAGGTGTACTTAAACAGAAGCAAAGTCACCCCGGAGTAAAGGTGAAAGCCTGAGGCCCCGCCTCCTCGCTCTCTGGAGAGGGGCGTTTCCACAACCGAGGATGAAGAGCAAGCCCTCTTCGCATGAGCCTATGCTGCAGTTCACTTAGGGCAGAGCACTCCACTTAATGATCCTCAGCCAGTCGCACAGATGGTTAAGGTCAACTACTAGCAGAAAGGCTGGGAGTTTGAACCCACCAACTGGTGCCACGGAAGACAGATCTGGTGATCCGCTTCTTAAAGTTCAGTCTTGAAAACGCTGTGTAGAGTTCAACTCAGTACCACCTGGGGTCGTCATGACTCAACTGGGTCGATGGCATCCAATAGCAGTACCAAACAAGAGTGTAAGAATAGACAGATGGATTTGACACTCAGAAGTTGGCAAGTTCTGCTTGTGGTACTTAAGGCAGGGGCTTTCTGTTTATGGACAAAATTAACCACAGCCTCTGTAAAACTCATGTCCCAAAGTCTTTAATTTCCTCTCAAGCTGGAATCCTGTTAAATATTAACTTCTCCCATGACATATTCCAACACATAAATATTAAAGCTACATTGCTAAGAACTGTAAAATCTTCCCAAAACCTAATTCCCATGGGGAAAATAGCCCATGTCTCCAGAAACTCCATGAACATTGAAAAATGTCGATAGTTGTAGAGAGGCTTCAGACCTTTTGTTCATAGGGTTGCTATGAGTCGTGCTCGACTCAAAGGCAATCAACAACAACAACAACAGGTAAGAAGTGGGGGCATTGATGGTTTATTTAAAGGTAGAATTCTTGCTTTCCAGGTTTGAATCAAACCTCAGGGCTGATTTCCAGCCAGTGCACCTTGTATGCAGCTACCATCCTTCCTTCTGTCAGTGGACATTTTCGTGTTGCTACAACGCCGAATAGGTCCAGTGGACATCCTAGACTGTTGTTGTTGTTGTTACGTGCCATTGAGTCAGCTACAACTCATAATGACCCTATGCACAATAGCTCTGAAACTTGCTTTATCCTGAACCAATTTCACTGTCTCTGACACTCCTGTTTTCATTACCCCAGTTATTGTGTCAATCCATCTCATGCCAGTTCTTGCTCTCCTGTGTTGCCCCTCGTTCGTTTCAAGCATGATATCCTTCTCCAAAGACTGTTCTCTCCTGTTCAAAGTATGTGAGATGGAGCTTCAAAATCCTTGCCTCCAAGGAGGAGCCTGGCTTCACCCTCTCCAGGGCGGACTAGTTAGTTCTCTCGGCAGTCCATGGTAAGTTCAATCCTCTTCTCTAGCACTCAGCTCAAAGGCATCAATTCTTCTTCTATCATCTTTCGTCATTATCCAGCTCTCTGATGTAGAGCAAAATCTATGGCCTTGATCAGGCGCACCTTAGTCTCTAGACTGATATCATTGCTCTTTAGCACTCTGGAGAAGCCCCAGACAGCAGATTTTCCTAATGCAATTCACCTTTTGATTTCTTGACTTGTGAGTCTAGGAAAAAAGGCCTGGTGATGTACCTCCAAAGATCAGTCACTGAAACCCTTCGGAATCACAATAGTCCTATTGTGTGTAGGATCACCTACTCAGTGGTAATTAGCAACAAGTATGCTACTTTTGCTGTTCCCTTTTTTTGTTAACCCAGGTAGAATTTGGCAAGAAATTTTCCAACAAATTTTTTTATTCTCTTTTACTAAAACAAATATGGTAATTCTAGGTGGACTCCCAGGACCTCAAAAAAAAAAAAAAATTATGAGTAGGTTAGTCCTAAAGAGATGGTAAAGATTAAGCTCAAGCCATAGGTGATAATCTGAGAAAATTTTCTATTCTAATCCTAATGATTTTCCAGGGATTCTACCCCTTCCCAATTTTTAACCCTCCTTCACCCAACACAGAAAAGTGATCAGAAACAGAGTATGGACATAAAAAGTCAACTACCCCATTTGGAGCCCAGTGCTCCCGTCCTAGAGGACTTTACCCAAAGTTCTCTCGAGGACCCTGGATCCTCTTTGGCACAATGCAAACAACAAGTTTCTTGGGCTGAGCAAATTGCATAATGCATGTGAAGCATTTTAGCACTGTGTGTCCTGACTAGTAAGTGTGTCTTCTCTTAAATTTGTAAATTGTTATTATTGTTATGTGCCACTGAGTTGGAACAAACTCATAGCTGACCCTTCGGCAGGTTTGCAGAGGCTGGAAATCACAGGGGAGGAAATTGGCCATCTTTCTCCGGTAGAATAGCTGATGGATTTGAACTGTCTGCCTTTGGGTTAACAGCTCAACTCCTTATGTACTAGACCACCAGAGCTCCCTCGTATTTGCCCGAACATTATAAAATATCAATAATCATCACCGTAATATTGATAGCATTTAATATGGAGAGAACCCATAGTGGGTCTCAATATGGATAGCAAGTATTGAGTAGGTAACTTAGTGTCCTATATATTTTGATATTATGCCAATTAAAATTTAGCTGAATATAAATCATATTTAAAGCCAGATATGCTGGAATGCTGACTGTTGACCATCTCAGTATCTTTAGGGGTTGGGGGGCAACCAAAAAACTGTTGAGAGAGTGCGACTATGACAGCTTTCTGATGTTACTATAACAAGAATAACTACACGTAGTTTTTACTATATAGAGAATTACTTTCTCACAGCTTCTCTCAACTGTCTCATTGCTGTTGAAGGAGAACAATCCCTCTAGGAGGTTTTCAAGAGGCTGTAAACAGCATGGAAAGACACTACCTAGCTTTCTCCCAAGGAACCGGTGGTAGTGGATTTGAAACACTGGAGATATACTACCTTTGGGTTAACAGTGAAACTCCCTACATCACCAGGGTTTCCTTCTCATAATTTAAGAGTCTCATAATTTAATGTGGATTCAGGGCATGAGATTTAAGGGAAGACCCCCTGGGGTCAGGTATCTTTCCACTTCTGTAACCAAGTTCCTCAAGTCTGTGGCTATCTCCATATAGCATCTCTTTTCCCCCCATCTGTGCTTGCTCAGTTCTTTCTCCCATCTGCTCTTTTTATAACTCAATTGATTAGGTTTAAGGTATATCATAAACTAATATGGTCTTGTAACCCTCAAAGAAAACACTGTTAACAAATATGTAGCCTGTGATGGATTGGATTGTGTTCCCTCAATATATGTGTTCCAGCACTATTCGATGCATGACGGGCTACGTATGAAGAAAGGCCTCCGGTTCTCACAGAACTAGAAATAAAAGGCACTACAACAAGTTCACCTTCCACTCAAGGTATGCAGGTGACCCTGAGCAATGTTCTCATTTCTGTAATGAGGAAAAACCCAGGTAAGACTCTATTTTCACTACTTCCCACTGAACTCTGCTCTGCATCTCAGAGATGCTTCAGTATAAATCATGCAGCCAAATATCCAACTATTATGATGAGAGTGTCCTTCTATCAAATGAAAAGAAACCCCCATCGGTATGGTCCCTACATTTGAAAATTCATTTCATTCCCCAGAGAAAGGTATTAAATGAACCAGGTTACTATCTATGCTAGTTTAATTTCACCAATATCATTGTTTTGGAAGTATTCCATACTTTTTCCACTGTATAAGACAAAGCACACATTGTCCTGAGAGGTGTAGCACAGATGGGCTTGAAAAACCCAGAGCATGTGCACCCTCCTCCCCTCTGACCTGCACAGGTGACGCCACACCCGCACTCACCTGCAGCACAGGTGAAAGGCTCTCTCTGGTCGCCCTTCAGACTCTGATTTTACATGGACGATCTCACAAACGGCATTTGCTTCTGCATCTAGATAAATTAAACCAAAACAAATTACAGCACATTTGAAACAGCCTTACTTGCATTCTTACAAAAGCATTTCCCAGGGTTTGTAAGATCAAAGGAAAACTGATAACAAAGCATCTGGCTGCGAAATGTAAAGTAATCGGTTCAACTCCACCAGCCACTCAGTAGGAGAAAGGTGCGGCAGTCTGCTCCTATAATGAATTACAGCCACAGAAATTCTTTGGGAAGGTTTACTGCATCTCGTACGGTCAACAGGAGTGGGAATGGACTTGACGGCGAGGCGTTTTGGTTTAGGGTTATAAGATCAAACAATCTGAGAGCTCTGGTGCCAAAGTCTACAGCGTGTGGTATTAACCAAGATTAAGCAGTGCAGAGCTGTATAGACGGACAAAACCTCACTCCTGTGACCAGACAAGATGAAGAGAGGCCAAGCTAAGTGGGCAGGCAGAAAAAGAATACGTGGAATATTTCCTGTTACTAAAACTTCCCCGATGATCTCAAAAGACAATCACTTAATCACGTTGGTTAAAGACATGGTCCTTTCTGTAGCTTCAACAGTTTGGCTGACAGTTTCAATTACGTGGTTAGGTTATGTTTATTTATTTTTTATAAAAGCTGCAATGGCCTAACACCCAATTCCCATGCATCTTTCATCAAATTAGTGGTGCAGAGAGGCAGGTCAACACTGTTTTGTGGGGAGCCTTCCCTGAGAACACACCAGTCAAGTGACCTCTTTTCAGCCCTCTTATTTGAAGCCAATAAGGTGAAGGTCAGTTTTAACTTTTAGGCCTTGTAACGCCTAGGAAACCATCTTATTTCAAATCATGAATAAAGTGTTTGTGAAAGGAACGATTCACTGTAGATATTTATACCGCCCACCAAGAGGCCTCACTCTTCCTCAGTGGTTCAGAGCTCTGACCACAAAACCTTATTGTACCCACGAACCTCACTGTCCTAAACAGGGCCCATTTACAGACATTTCATATGCTTTTCCAAATGAAGATAAAAATCTAGAAATCCCACTTTCTGATTCTCAAATTCAGTAGAATGTATTTCATCAGGGTGGATGTGTATAGTAGGTCCATCAAAATAAGCTTTTATCTTGATGGTTTTAAATCTGATCTAAATGAAAAAACAGAGGGAAAGAACAGTACTTCCTATCACAAAGCTAGCTTTGTTTTCGAAATTGAAAGAGTTCATACATTTAGCCTTCAATGGAAGTAAAATTCCTGGCTGCGAAGTCTGTGGTTTTGCTAACGACATAAGTTTTTCTGTTTATAAACCAGTCACAAGAAACGTTAAGAACTAGATAACTGACAAACCAAGATTTCAAAGCTAAGACAATGATAGTTAAGTGTCCAAACTTCAAAAGGTTAGCATAACTGTAGTTTCACAACATATGGCTTCCTGCATATTCACACATCAGTTAATTTTGCTAATCAAATCATAACTAAAAAGGAATATCACTGTAGTAAAAGTATAGAGAGAAAACTTCTTAGAGCAAATAATTAGCCTAATATCTACAAGTCTGCATCTGAGTTTTCCTACTGCAGGGCATAATGGCTTTGAAGGAAAATGCATCCAGTTTAATTACAGTGAGTAACGGATGGCTTCCAATTACTGCAGGGGGTTTCTCCTCCTGACACTCGTGGCGAGAGTGAGCTGTTTTATGAGGATCAGATCCAGTGTTATCACTCAGGGAGGAAGAGAAGTGCAAACAGGGAGAACTGAACAGCATAAATGCTCACATTAGATGCCAGAAGCATAAACTAGGAATAATGTACCCATGCCAACCTGCAGCTTCCCACCCCAGGGCCTCTGTTTACTACCAGAAAGGTGCATCACACTTGCTGTCCAAGTGAGACAAGAACTGGGTGCAGCCAAGTATTCCCAAGTTGCTCCTTCCAGTGTGCCCAGGGCAGCCACTGTCAATGCCTTCTCTGTAGAGCCTGGTCCCACATACATCTAGATAAGGTTCCAGAGTCACAGAAATGCAAGAAAGCCTGAAAAAGCTAGAACCTGAGTACAGGGAGACAACCCATCAGAGAAGAAAAACTCAAGTATTTTCCACTAAACAAATGACAGAGAAGTGGTAAATCTGAATCCTGTCAAAGGCAGAACATTTCCAGACCTAGGAAAACAAGGCAGTCCCACTGAGTTCTGACTCCCAGAGGCTTCACTGCAGTGCCTTCTTGGCCAATATCCTGAAGTCTATGTCTCATGTGCTTATTAATGCATCATTGGAGCGCCCCAATTAAAACAAGCTTGGAAGCAGGAGTGGTATCCACTTCCGAAATGGCTTCCTTACGGAACCTCTATGAATGTGGAGAAACTATGAAAGTTATACAAATATTCAGGTCTTTCATTCATAGGGTCATTATGAGTCATCTACAATTTGATGGCACCTAACAACAACAATAACAACGTATTTCATACATTTGGAATATGTTTATACTAGAAAAACTGTCATCATTTATTCGATACCTGAAACTTGACAGCATCTAACAACAACAACAACAGCAACAACATAATATTATATGTATTTCTCACTATCCAACAGCTCATTTCTCAACTGTATGTTCGCAGAAAAAGAACAGGCATGCCAAAAGCCCTCACACTAATAGTAAAGAGAAATAACAGCAAAACTTCAGAGTCAAAAGATAAAATGTGCATCCAATTGCTTCTTTTTGTGAGCTTGGTAGTCTTTTTTGTCTCCTATTCAAAAGGCAAGAAAGCCGTTTACGTGGGCTTTTTGTCCTCATTGCTATAAGGATTTTGTCCAGAATTAGAAGATGTGTTACTCAAATATTATTCCTTGAAGAGAGAGAGAGTGTGTGTGTGTGTGTGTGTGTGTGTGAGAGAGAGAGAGAGAGAGAGAGAGAGAATCAAAACAACTAGAATCCTCAGAGCAAAGCTGAGGACATTACAATCATTCACATGGTTCATCCATTTATTGGTTCAAATATTTAATAAAAGGCTGGGTAAATAAAATGTAATGGGAGGATCAAGGAAACCATAAAGATAGAAAATGAAAGTTGGGAGAGTGGTTAGGCCAAATATCTGGGTTCAGATGCACAGCTCAAACACATCAGAAATACGGGTTTGAATTTACCTGCACTTGCCAAAGCTCGAACCTGCAGAGCCTCGGTGGGGATCATGTGTCGAAATCGGAAGGGGTCCCAGTCCTCGTAAATTGAGAGCCTATGAGATCCTACCTGTAGGAGAGAAGGAACCAGCTCCATAAGGACAACCTACTCCACCCCTGGAAATTGGTTCTCCATCTTCTAAGCCAGGGGCTGACTCATCCTGGATCCAGCACTTGCCCAAAGGAACCCACCCTTGTGCTCCTTGTCCCACAGAAAATAGGAAAATGAGAGGCAAAGAGATTCATATATCGAGAGTGTGTAATTAGGCTAAGCAAGGACAGCTAAGGGAGAGACACCACCAGAATGGGAGGAAGTGGGGAAACAGTGCTAGAAGGTGCTGGACCCATAACTACCCACTTTGGTGCTCCCGATTTAAGCCTAAAAGAAAGCAAGGAGGGGAGTCATTCATAATTCCAAGAAGAGGGGGGAAAAAAAGAAATCATAAATTCTTATGTTGAATATCCAAGAGGATAAACGACAGATCCTTTGAAACTAGGGGATGAAATAAGAAGTCTTACAAGTTTCTTCTTCTGCTTGGAGCCATCTTTATACACAAGGACCACAGCCGTTTTAAAGACTGCAAAAGAAGAAGAGAAGCACACTCATAAACGAAGGCAGTTGTGCATGAATTTCCCACCTTATTTCAATAGCCTGCAGTAATATGCGGCACTATTGCAAGAGGGCAGTGAGACTCTGGTCAACCAATTCCCACCCACTTACCACACCTGCGAACTTCAAATCTCTGGAGATATTTTCCCAGTGCAAAATAAACAAATGGTCTACACCACGGGGAAATCTTACCTGCTCCTGGAACTTCCAAGTGAAATACAAGATCTTAACAATACTTTTAGTTATGAACTGAACTAGGCATCCAACTCCCACCTCTGGCTACCAAAACTATATGCTGTAAGTCTCTACCCCGTGAAAAGAGTGGTGTTTAGAAATGAAGTTTAGTTTGTTATGTCAAAGAGGTCATACCAATCCTGGGTGCATCCTAAACCCAACCATTCCTTAGAACCTAAAAGAGTGGATTAGACAGAGTCACATATTAAGGAAAATCGACACCCAAGAGGATTTTCTACAAGCCACAGAACAAGGAAATGTCCAGGCTCCTCACAAGAGAGGAATCTACACAGCCCATACTCTGACTTGGACTTTTTGTCTCCTGACTTTGAGAAAATAAATTCTGTTCTTTACTATCTTATATTATTTACTATAACATAAATTATAAGTAAAAGATATAAATAAAATAAATTTAATATTTATAGAGTATATAAATGTTTTTCACCCTTTCTAATCATAGCCAAACACCTTGAGGGGAAAAGTTTTGAGGCCTGGGGACCATAGTTTTGGGGGATACCAACATCAATTGGTATGAGATAGTCCACACAGATAATGTTCTAACATTCTTCGGTGAGCAGTAACTTGATGTTAAAGCTTTAGAGCAAGGGCAACTCTTGGTCTTTCCCTGCCTGGATCAAAGAGGGAAGAAAAGCAAAAGGATACTGACACAATCAGTCCAAAGGACAAAATACTCAAGCCTCCGCTTCCATGACCTTGCCTGAGATCAGAATTAAACGGTGCCCAGCTTTCACCACTGACCACTCTAAAAGGGACCACAGTAGAAGACTGTGGATAGAAAAAAATGTGGAACAAAACAAAAAAACAGGGGGAAAGTCAGGCTTATCTGATAGAGACTAGTGGAATTCCTAAAATCATGGCCCATAATCACCTTTCAATGTGGAATAAAGCTCACCCCCCACAGTTCAACTTTCAGGCAAAGGACAGGTCTATAAGGTGAACAATTAACACCTTGGGAGGACACAACTCCTTAAACTAACCAACCATATAAGGTAGAAAGGGTAGCATTTGCCCAAGGATAAAGTCCTGAAGGCAGGAAAGAATATGATAGAGGATTAATGGAAATGAGAATAATAGGGAGGAATTGAGAAAGTGCAATTACATTGCAGGTATTGTAATGAATGTTATGAAACAGTATGTGTATGAACAATTAAATGGAAAACTACAATGCTTTGTAAATTCTCATTCAAATCACAAGGGGGGAATAAACAAACAACTAAAAGATAAGATAGGCAGTCTCTGCCCATGGGCTTTGAAGCTTCTGAAACCCAAATGAAGTTCAGTTTTGAATCAGTTTCGATGCAGAGTGTATGAGCAAGACTGGATTACTGGGCAGTATCATTTCGAGTACTTCAGTACTTTTTTATTTGTATAGACCTTAGTTGATACAATTCCAGCCAAGAATTTAGCAACTGCTGTACAATATACACAGAATCACAAAGGAAAAGACCATTCAGAGAATTCTCAGTGATGGGCTGCCCACTGTCAGGGGCCTCTGGAAACTAACACAAAGTGCAGCAAGACCTGCAAAGGCTGTAACTGTCAGAAGTGTCCTAGTTACCCTGTGTACCCAAAAGGCAAAATACCACAAGTGAGTGGCTTTACCAAACAGAAAGAAATGCATTCTCCAAAGTTTAGGGGGACAGAGGTCTAAATTAATGGTGTGAGCTTTTCAAGAAGACGCTCTCTCTGTCAGCTCTAAGGTAAAGTCCTTATTCATGATCTTCATGTGACTTGGCATCTTCCGAAAAGTCTAATTCTAATTTGCATTTAATTTTTTTTTTAATATTTCAAAAGAGACTGACATAAAATAGCCTCAAAACACTAATCCTGCCTCGTCAACACACCAAAGACGATGCATTCCTGCATACCACCAGATCAGAGAAGTTTAGGATTTACAACATAAAGGTCTGGAAGACACAATTCTATCTACCACAAGGCCATATTTTCCAAAAAAACTCTACTTTGAGTAGAAGAGTATTAAGTTTGCCTCTCGTTAAATGCCCCAAATTTGCAAGATCCGGAAAAACAAGGAAACTCCCATCAAGCTCTGGCTCTCACATGCTTCACAGTGTCTGGTTCTTTTTTTTTTGGTCTTATTCTAGAGCAGCCAGGTTCCCTTTTATGGAGGGTTGTTCCAATCTCCAACCAGGAAAACTAGCCTTGAGCTGCAAAGACCTGACTGGAAACACTGGCTCTCTACTTCTCATACCTTCACCTTCAGCATTTGATCCTCAAGATGCCCAGAGGAAATAGGAACCCCTGCCTGAGGGTTACTCGAGCTAGCTCTGCATGGAGTCCCAGTGACAGTGGCCCAAGAGAGCCCTTCATTCCCACTGTGAAGCTTGTAGGCCAGGGCAGTTTGGTCTATAATGTGCAAAGGCATGGGACCAAGTGACCTTAATCTCAAAAGGCCTGTGTTATTACTGGGACACCATTCAGTGGTGGGGTTGCTATGGATCTGTGAAGACTAATTGCCTTGACTCAAACAGAAGCATCTTTAATAAAGACACCAGGGTAGAGTAATAGAGCCAAGAGTGATTCTGAGCTTGGCACCCAGGCTTGTGCTACAAACAACCCAGAACAACTCAGCCTTTCACCTACACTGCTAGATTCTCCCTGATCCCACTTGGCTATTCTCATGCACTTGACTTCAAGGTGCTGGCTAATCCCTTTAAAAGTGGTCTTCATCTCCATAAGGCCACCCACCTCCATTATCTATAACCCTTGCCAGTCAAAAGCACTCCCAAAGATAAATGTCTCTGAGGCAAAGCCCCCACAAGTGTTTCCTCCCTCCATCTCTATTCTCCTCTCTGTAGCTCTTGTACCTATTCTTTTAAAGGTGAAGATTGTCAAGCCTCAGCTCACATTAACCATCCAGATGGCAAATACCAATGTGTAGGACTGGCAATCAAATCAACTTCCATTCCAGAAAAAGCATCACCAAGATCAGAAACTCAAATCCGAACAAAAGATGACCATATTTTACCCTAAATGCTGCCTGTTACATCATTTTTCCCACCTCCCCCACCCCAGTCCACTTTGCTATGTACCTATTATTCTGGCCTATTATCATACATATGCCGAAATAAAATATTCCTTTTTTTAAAAAAAAGGATAGATATTTTAAATTTTATTTTTATTATTTTGGGTGTGTACCAGCAAATTAGATCTGACTGGTGCAGGAGGAGATTGTCCCTCCTTCTCCAGCAGGGCATCTGGTGGATTTGAACCACTCACTTCTGGGATTGCAGTGTAGCTTCTTGCCACTAGGCTACCAGAGCTCACCCATATATTCCTTTTAAACAGTTCGTTTCTTCATCCGTTCCAATGCAGTAATGAACACTGCATTGAGTAATGCAATAATAATGAAATTTATCCCCTCTTTTCTTAGTTTTCCCCCAAACTACATGTCAGTCCTGTTTTCTAACAGTGGTGTTATGCAGTATTTGTCCTTTTGTGACTGAGCTATTTCACTCAGCATAATGTCCTATTTATTTATTTACTTATTTTAATGAGCTGGGGGTAGGGAGGGAAATGTCCAACAATGAATGAATAGAAATCCATGTTTTCCATAAACTTCCATTAAAATCACAATTAAAAAATATTTTAAAAGAAGAAAAAAAAAAGCTGCCTGTTAAGTGGTAATAAGTAACCTACTTTCCTGACAGTAACACTTCCTTATTTCAAAAGACATTTTTAAGGTTCTGGTAATTCAGCTTTGCAGCTTGAATTCACAAAAGAATAATCCAACACGTGACCTTTATTGGCTGAGAATCCATAAACAAACTCATTATTTGTTCATAATCTTGATTTGAAGTCTCTTTATGTTTACTCTGGAGAGGATTCTGAATAATGATACGCTTCTATCTTGACAACAGCTTTTATAGTTTTCATCTTGTTAACTACAGACACAATTGAGGTTTTGTTCCCTGCCCCATACACTGGAGTTCGTGTTTGCAGTCTCTATTTATAATCAGACAAATGTATACACACATGTACACTAGCACTCACACACATACATCACCTGAGCCTGCAGGGCAATTGTTACCTAAAACCCCAAACCTCCAAACAGGTGTTTTCCAGAACACTTTGTAACACAGGTTGGTAAACCATAGCCTGAGGGCCAAATCCAGTCGGGCCACCTATTCTGTACGCCCACCTCACAGACTTGTTTACCCACTTACACACGGTTTGTGGCTGCCTTTGGCTCTTTGAATGGCCCCTTGGACCACAAGCTCTAAAACACTATGTGGCCTTTTATAGAAAAATGGAGTTCTGGTGGTCTAGTAGGTAAGCAGCTGGCCAACTCAAAGGCAGCCAGTTTGAATCCACCAGCTGCTCCTTGGGAGAAAGATGAGAAACCTCTGTCCATGGCATTTACAGCCCCTCAAAATCTCAAGAGAGTCAGTAACAAGTCAGTTTCAACTCAATACCATGAAAAAAGTTTGTCAACTTCTACTTTATGCAACATTGTTTTTTAAATTCTAAAGTTGCTCATTTCTAATTATATGAAATTTGTAACATTTGGGAGACAATGCGTAACACATACAAATGAATTCTAGAACCGCTTGCTATTCTTTAACCCAATACCAGAAACAGGTTTGGGTTATTTCTTTATTTTCTTTGTCCTTTGAGTGACCTGCTGAGAAGTAAGCATCACAGAGCTTCCAGATCTTTTTGAGGAGAAAATGCAAATCTAAGCACCAATAGTAAGTAATGTTACAAAGAAAAGAAAATACACCTGCCTGCCCAATTAAAATTTCCCCATTCATGTATAATTTTTGGTTTCCTGCTCATCTAAATGCTTCTTTATTTTTAATAAAATGTCATCAACAGCTACAGCAGTGACCCTTTGATAATCTTACCAATATCCTCAGGAATACTTTAGAAATGTCTTGAGGAAAACTTTAAGAAGTTTGTCAATAAAAGGTACGTGATCTACAAAAGAATCGGATTTCTTTTTTTGCATCTCACATTTTCATTTTCTCATTAAATGGTGCTCAGTTTGTGTTTTAACAGGTGTGATTTTAGTATCCCTAAGGGAGCTCTGGCTGCCTAGTGGTAAGGAGCTGTGCTGCCAGCCTGAAGGCAGGGGGCGATCTCCTCCCATGTGATTTACTCCTCTGAAAACCAGCTGGGAGGTCAGCGATGGGTCACTTCCAACTTGATGGTACATAACAAGTGGTACTCATTTAGGAATACTTGGTTCTCACCATGGCAGATAACAGGGATCTGATAAAGAAGCTGAGATCTGGTGGTGCAGTTGTTAATGGCAAGGTTGGCAGTTCTAGTCCACTAGCTGGGATGAGAGAGAAAGATGTGGCAGTCAGCTTCCCTAGAGAGTTCATCCTCTGGCCAATAGGATTGCTGTGTTCATCCTCTGGCCAATAGGGTTGCTATGTTCATCCTTTGGCCAATAGGGTGACTATGAGTCAGAATCAACCTGACAGCAATGGGTTTCTTAAAAAAAATTACTGCTATTAAGTTAGAACTGACTCCTTGCTGGCCCTGCAGGGGGTTTGTAGAGGTTAGTTATAAATGTAGCTGGTAAACTTGAACTGCCAGAGAGGCAACCACTTTGAGTTAGCAGCTCTCCCTAAGGTGAGTTAAGAGAATGGAAATGCTGCAAAATTCCCTTACGTTCATACTCATATATCTTCTAGGGTCGGTCTAGGAAAACACAACCTAGAACAAAAGCATGGATCACTAATGCTTTTAGACTCAGAAACAACACTGCACTGTGGCACACACACATCCACACTGCAACAAAAGCCGCCTTTCCTGGATTCTGTACAGCCCCCAATGTGCTAATGCAAACTTTTCCTCTCACAAAAGGAAATTGCAACACAGTCTCATGAGGTTTCTAATTATAACAATCCCATCTATCTGAACTGGTTTATTAAAAAATAAATCATCCACAACATCTCTGCTCTCACTCTTATTAGTATTATGCTGATTGAAATGCAACAAACAACTGATCAAGGGACCCCGATGTTGTCAAGCCAATTTAGCTGAGAATCTGAGTTTTAAATGTTGCCATTACAGCCAGTAATATAGACAGAAAGATGGAGGATTTGAAGCTTCAGAAACAGAGGCAGTGTGGTTTTAATTTTTCACTCTAATTTTTCCTCCATTAATTACCAAACTGTTTTGAAATTATACTCAAAACAGCAGCAATTTAAAAAGGGTTTCTGTGTCTATATGCTTCTACCTGGGACAGACTTGGGCACAAGCGTGTCCTCGCACCCACAGAGCTGGCCGGCCACATGGTATTTAACTGGAAGGTTTAATTTAGTGTGTTTGATATTGGTGGCAACAGCCAGAGATAATTTCAGATCACTGTAATTAACTTTATTTTAATAAGTAAGGTCTTGGAAAAAAACTGTTTTGGAAGGTAAGGCAGCCACTGAGGCCCTCCTGAACCCTCAGCAGCGACATACCAAATGCTGCCAGGTCTGGCTCCTTCTTCCACTTGCCCAGTGAGGTGGGAGGGTTCAGCCAGATCACGGTGGTGTGTAGAAGCAGGTCCCCCATGCTCAGATCGGCGACCTGAAACAAGGGGCACAGAAGGCTTATTTGAGGTAAAGATACAGATCGGTATGACATTTTAAAATTCAACAGGCGGATGTCAACTTTATGTCACAGAAATATTGTCTCTCTACTCCTCTTCAGTCTGTCTACTGAAATTAAAAAAAATAATTAAAAAAAGTAGCAGAATGGGTACAAATCGGGACTCCAAATGGAACACACAGTAAATCCACCAAAATTAAGCCACCAAATTGCAGATGCTTGTGTTAAGACTGATAGAGTCCCAAGGAGATGCTGATGGTTACTAGGGACAAATATCCACCTAGATAACTGCTGTCATTTCTACCTATGAGTTACAGTCCCTTAAAGGAAGCGTCTTCTGGGAAAGAGCAGACTCTATTATTTCTTCTTCTTATCCATTTTAAAAAGAATTTGTTTTATTGGTCTACTGGCAAAGTGGTGAGGATTTTTGTTTTCTTGATGTTGTGATATAATCCGTACTGAAGGCTGCAGATCTGGATCTTGGGCAGCAAGTGCCTCAAGTTCTCCTTGCTATCAGCAAACGGGTCATTTTGAAGGAAGAAGCAATCAAATGAGGGATTTCAAGACTTCTCTCTAATTGTGGCAGTCTCAGCACTACAGACTGCAGAGCTCATGCAATCCAAGTCATGGGCTGATGCTAAACCATCTCACAGACAAATCTCCTTTCAGAGCCAAGCTAGAGGATAATTGCAGAGAGATTCCTTTAGAATTGTAGAGTTAACTCTTCACACGCTGTCTACCTTTCTCTATGTACTCCTTTGGCCCACTTTACCAGTGACCCTTGAGAAGATTCTGACTCCAGGTACCCACGTAATTGTATGGTAGTATAATTCTGCTCTTCAGAGACTGACAAAGCGGAGGCTTTGTGAGTAGATCAAAGGGTTTTCTTGGCACCTCAGGGGAGGCTCAAATCTCCAATACTTAGTTCGGCAGCTGGCATATTCAACATTTGCACCACGTCAGCTGAGGATATTCACCTCCCTGTAGGGTTTGTTCACACCCCTCTCACTTCCATTCTCTGAGGTCACAGACATCAAGCCTAGTGTCCTTTTCCTTGGGGCAGCATTTCAATTATTTGAAAACTTGGAGCTCAATATCTCCAAGACAAAAAAAAAAACCCTCTAGCTTTTTTTGGTCCAAGTAGGTTTCTAGATATAGCAGCAACTCAGCAGCTCTACCCTAAACATATATGCACACCCCCCCCCAACACTTCCATGAAAGTGGAATGTTTATAAAGAAAAATCAATTCCCAAGTATTATACTAGGCCGTACAGAGACTATACAGGGAACAGTGGTGGCTTAGTGGTAAGAACCTGCACTGTAATTCCAAAGGCATACTGTTCAGTTCTACCAGGTGCTCCTGGGAAGATGGGAAGAACCACTAATGGATTTGAACAACTCCTCCCATGTGATTTACTGACTCTGAAAACCCCCTTGAGGGTTGTTTCTGACTCAACAGGACACAACAACAACATAAAGGGAGAATATCTTGAAAAAATGGTTATGGATCACGTGGTGTATCTTTATCGATACACTCTAACAGAATTATATCCCTGTACCTACTGCCAGATCAAGAAGCTGTAGTCTGAACAGAGCAAGAGAACACTGAATGGTTTAAAATCAAGAAAGGTGTGTGTCTAAATTGTATCTTTTCTCTATACCTATTCAATCTGTATGCTGAACAAATCACTCAAGAAGTTGGATTCTAGGAAAAAGAAGGTGGCACCAGGTTCTGAGGAAGATCTATGAACAACTTGCATTATGTAGATGATGCAAATTTGTTTGCTCAAGGTGAGAACTTGAAGTGCTTGCTGCGGAAGATCAAAGACTATATAGCCTTCAATATGGATTACAGCTCAACATCAGGAAGATAAAAATCCTCACCAATAGGTAACATCATGATAAATGGAGAAAAGATTGCCATTGTCAACAACTTCATCTTAATTAGATTCATTCCTCTCCAAATTACCAAGGAGCAATGATGTCAGTGTGTAGACTAAGGTGTACCTGATTCAGGCCATGATCTTTTCAATCACTTGCTATGCTGCTGAGAGATGAACAATGGATGACAGAAGAATTAATGCCTTTGAGTTGTGTTACTGGAAAAGAAAACTGGATACCCACACCCCATGGACTGCTAAAAGAATAAACAGATATGTCTTGGAGAAAGTTCAGGATCAAAGGTGGTAAAACTTCACCTTACATATTTTCAACATGTTGTTAAGAGAGGCTATTCCTTGGAAAGGGACATCGTGCATAGAAAGGTGAAACGTTGGTGAAAAAGCAGAAGACCCCAACCAGATGTCCCAACACAATGACTGTGGCAATGGGTTCAAGTATGTCAGAGATAATGTCAGAGGAAAACACATGATAGAACAGGGTTTAGATCTATTTTTCATAGGATCGCAATGGGTCATACTCAACTCGACAGCACCTAACATCATCTCCTGTCAAGTGATTTTCCAGTGCTTCCCATTCAATAGAGCATCTGAATTTGTTTCCAGTGGCTGCAATAATAAATTGCTACAAACTGAGTAGCTTGAAAGAACAGAAACCTCTTCTCTCACAAGTAGGTGACTAGAAGTCTGAAATCACAATGATGGCAGGATAGGTTCTTTCTGGACGCTCTAGAAAATCTGTGCCTCTCTTTTAGCTTCTAGTGGTTTCTAGCAACTCTTGTTATTCCTCTACTTGCAGATATATCCTCTAATTTCTGCTTGTCTCAACAAGGCATGCTCCTCATGTGTTTCTCTTATGTCACTGGATTTAAGGACTACTTTAATACAGACAACATGCTGGGAAAGGTGGAGGCTCAAAGAAAGAGAGGAAGACCCTCAATAAAATGGATTGACTCAGAGACTGTAACAATGGGTCCAAGTATAACAGAGAAGCACACAGCCAGGGTTTAGATCTGTTGTTCATAGGATCACTGTAAGTCAAAGTTGACTTCAGGGCACCTAACAACAACAACAACAACAACAACAAAGACAGTAAGGGTGCTCTGATGGCATAGTCCAAATGGAGTCATCCTGCTCACCCAAAGGCTACACCTTTCTAGAGGTTCTGATCCATTAGTGGTTCTGCCCGAGAAAGACAGGCAATCTCCTCCTGGTGACTTACAGCCTCTGAAACCCAACAGAGAATGGATTGGCTGTGAGTCAGTTACAAGTAGACAGCAATGGATTTTGAGTTTCTGATATAGCACAACTTCATTTCAATGATTTATATATGTAAGATCTTATTTCAAATAAAGATATACCCAGAGTTTCTCTCTTATCGACAGAATTTGGGGAAAAGACATGGAACTGAGGACAATATCTCCTTCCCTGATGATTTCAGGTTTAGCCATGTGACGTGCCCCATGGACTTGGTGTCACAACGTGGGGTGTCCTCCTTCTCATCAGTTTACTAGATCCATCAAGTCAGTTCTAACTCATAGTGACCCTGTGCGTGTCAGAGCAGAGCCAGGCTCCATACGGTTTTCAGGCCTGTCCTCAAGTCACCTTGGGGTGAACACAAACCTCTGACCGTTTAGATAGTAGCTGAGTGTATTAACCACGTAAGAGACACAAACCACACTAAGAACCTAGCTTCCTAGGCTCTTCTTCTTACAGAGTCAAAATCATTCCATCTCTCCCAATTTAAAGATCATTCTCCTCAGAAGAGAATAAAGTGATATTTTCCCCTTCTCTCTCTTTTTCCTGAGTGATTTTTCCCCCCTCTCCTTTTCCTATCCATCACACCTTTGCCACTGACCTCTGTCAGGAACCTTTTATCCTTCTTGTTCTTATCCATTTATAATAACCTTTCACTAATCTCTCTGGAATCTTTTGCAAGCCTTAATTTTCCTGGCTTTCAGTCCTCTTGACATTGACAGCCCATTTCTGTACTATTTCATATTATCCCTCCTTCCATCTTTTGTGCATTTCGTTTTACAAGCTCAGCTCACGAGAGAACATTTTGTACAGTATTATATCTCTTTGTTCCATGCTGGGAAGATTTCTTACTTGATTGTCAGAATTTTATTTCAGGCAGTCTTTGGTTTCACTTAAGCCACATTTCTTTTTTATATAGTCTCTTTTGAATCATAACCATCTTTTTTTCTAAAATTTTTATACTCTACCATCCTTAAAGAAAAGACATTATGCTTGATAAAGTAAAGGGTCAGTGAAAAAAGAAGACCCTCAATGCAATGGATTGATACTGGGCTGACACAGTACATGGGAGACTGTGAGATGGCCCAGGATCGGGCAAGGTTTCATTCTGTTTCAACCGGGTCTCTATGAATCAGAGATGACTCAAAGGCACTTCAGAATAACATTCACAAAACCTTTCAGGCTTTAGCAGGATCACTTGCTCCTAAAGCCAGTAAAATTGAAAAATTAATAAATCGCAAAAGTCAAAATAGCAATTATAAAAAACCTCAGTACAATAATATTCTATCAGAATGAAACACACAAAGGTACAGGAGGAAAAAACTTATAATCAAGATGTTTGTGACGGTATTCATAATAACCCATAAATAAAGGCCCCCAAAATCATCTAGCTTCATGAATCAATCATTAATTATCTAGCCATACAATGAAATATAAGAACGAAAATTATTCTCTTTGAATAAGTTAAACTAACACAAGTCTTTATTGCATATTTTAAAAAAATCAAGACATGGTATAACTCAAAATAAAACTAAGTAAGCAATGTAAGCATCTAATTTTTATATGTAAAATGAAACCACCAACTTTGTGAGTGGTAAGTGATCTGCTAAGATAGTTTTTCCTTGTAGTCTTTTTCTACATTTTTATATTTTCTTTTATAAAGCTCGAAAATCCACTTGCTACTGCTGAATCAGTTTCAACTCATCAACTTTCCATCACGTTTCTGAGACTATAAATACTAGTGGGAGAAACGGTCTCCTTTGTTGGCACTGCTGGATTAAAACTGCTAGAGATGCGTGACCTCTGGGTTAGCAGTGCAACACGCTACAGATGACATCACCACAGCCCCTCCAGGGTCTCCTAGGCTGCCATATTCCAATGTTCTGCAACTCCTTCTAAGACGTACGTACATGTATCATCCCTTGACAACATTTACTATTTACCAAAGGTCTACGTTAGTAACTGACTTTGTTACCCATAAGAAATGCAAAGTAAAACTGTACTTTTATGAAAAGTGACATTAGTTACCAATATTCGTTTTGCAGCATTTGTTTTTATAGATCAACTAGTCACTTCATGGGAGAAAGATGAGTCCCAGTAAGATTTACAGCTTGGCAATGTGAAGAAAGGTTGTTACGAGTTGGAACTGCCTTGATGACCGGGACCTGGGTCCGGTGGTTTAAGAGGCAGCGAGGGGCACTGCCAAGCGTCTTCTTTGGGGACTGCACTCCATAATTCGGCAGCAAGCAGTCATCGTTTTAAACTGTGCCTGTGAACACTATATGCTGGTATTCTTTTAACTCTTATATGTTAGTTGGTATGATTTAGTAGGGGTTTGAGGGTAGCAGCTAGGAAATTAAAAGATGAATTACATTGGGAAAGTCTGCTGTCAGAGACTTCTCCAAGGTACTGAGGAGCAACAATGTCAGTCTGGAGACTAAGGTGTGCCTGATCCAGTCCATGGTCTTCGCAATTATTTGTTTTGCATCAGAGCACTGGACAATGACTAGGGTTAATGGAAGAATTGATGCCTTTGAGCTGTGGTGCTGGAGAAGAGTACTGCATATACCATGGACTGCTAAGAGAACAAACAGGTTCGTCCTGAAGAGGGTTAAACCAGGCAGCTCCTTGGAGGCAAGGATTCTGAAGCTTTGTCTGACATACTTTGGACATGTTGCAAGGAGGGACCAGTCCTTGGAGAGGGGCGTCATGCTTGGGAGGGTGGACAGATACCGCAGGAGAGGAAGACCCTCAATGAGATGAATTGATTCAGTGACAGGGGTAATGGGTAGATGTGTCAGGGACAATAAGATTGGCACAGGATAGAGCAGGGTTTAGGGCTGTTGTACATAGAATTGCTATGAGTCTTAGGCAACTTGATGGCACATAATAACAACATGACCCCCCCCAAATTTTTCTCATATAAATGAATGGCAGTTGTTTCTTTGATACGTCATTTCAGCTTACACAGGGTTTTATACAAAAGCTTTGAGTAGCAAGGAAAACCTAAAAGTGATACCGATGGCCTTTTAGTGAATTCTGACTCATGGGGATGCTACAGGACAGGGGAGAACTGCCCCATAGTGTACCTAATGCTGTGGGGACCTGCACTGCTAACTCGAACACTGTGCTGCTTTAATGATTCAAAACTACCAACAGCTGCTCAGGAGACAGGTGGGCCATCTTCTCCTCTTCAGTTTACAGTCGCATAAACCTACTGGACGGTCAGCTATGAGTTGGTTCCAACTGAAGGGTAAGGAGTTGTTGAAACTACATGGAAGCAGATTAATCATTTTCTTTGTACAGAGTAGCTGGCAGGTTTGAACTGACGACCTTATGATTAACAGAGAAATGTTTATCCAGTGTACCGTCAAGGGTCCTTCTAGGTAAATTCTATTGTTTGCCAGTGATGTAAATGAACTTCATCCTCTGCTATGAAAAAGGCAGTGCTACCTCCTTTACAAATCATCTCCAACCACCTTTACATTCCCTTAGCTCCTGTAAAATCAGTACTGTTTCATTTTTCCTTTGATTCATTCATGTTTCTTTCTGGTTTCCCTCATATCATCTAAGTAAAAGAAATTCTGTATTCAGTTCAGTTACATGTGTATGAAAGCCATGTTCTTTCCTTTTTTCTTAACACTATCTTTTGACAGTTAAAACCCTCATTTTGTTTTACAGTGGACATAAAAATAAACCTGGATAATAACCTTGATGCCACTAATGATGAGGTGGGTTTTCTCATCTAGACTAAACAAGCACAGTTCACCCATGCTTTGCTTCTGTAACCATCCTCCTAATCACAGCAGCAGCAGTGCTTTTCTCTATAGTTCCCACTCTGGTTTGAACTTTTGTTGTTGTTATTAGGTATGGACGGGAAAACTGAGTATAGCATTCCAGTGCAGTCAGTGTAAGGCGATACTGATGAATGTTAATGATGAATGATGATTATGCTTAAAATCCTTCTGCCCATTCTGGCATTTTTATTTCTATGCACCCTTCCTTCTCTGTCACTCAAGCACAACTCACAGTTCACTCTAAATCATTTCTAAATATATCTGTTCTGCGGTGGTCTCTGCTAAGCAGGTGTTTGCGTGTATTTTTTTTAAATATTAGTACATAATTACCTGACATGCCCATTCATTGCCCAGATGTTTATTGAGCAACTACTGCATGCCCTACAATATTCTCATCTTTGGGAATAAAACTGTGGCTTCAAATGATTTTTATATTGGAGTGAAAACAGCCCAGATTATGTTAATAGAAGTTTAAACAACGTTAAACACTTGCTGTGGTTAACAAAGAACAAAACCAGATCTTCCCTCCCCCTGGATCCCTAAGGTGAAGTGGTGAGGATTAGAAACACAGTTGCTATATAAGAAAACATATACCGATAAAAGATTTAAGTTCCACCAACACAAACAACATGTTCATAGCTATTTTACTTATCAATGCTATGTTAAAAACACAACCCTGCTTTCTTAACAGATTCCCTGAGAAGAATGGTCCTTACCTCTTTTTTCTCACCCGTCTGCTCAGCAATGAGCTGGTCGAACACGGCACCAAACTCTTCATGGATTTTCTGCATTTCATTGATGTGACTTGCCACTTTGTTCATGGTCTTGATGGCCACTAGAAGGAAAGGGGGCACGAATGATGCGATTTACTTAGGCCTCTCAGGGGAAGCGGGGGGGGGGGGTCCTCTGGGCAGGCCTGTGGCTCACCGTCCAGGTGGTAGTGCTCCTCGCTCTCTGCGTCCGTCAGGGCAAACAGCTCCTTCAGCAGGAGAGGGTACTTGAGGATCCTCTGGATGGGCTTGATGAGGTAAGACTCGAGGGTGGATGAGTGCTGCTGCTTCGGGTTCTGGGCATCCAAGAAAGCCTTGAAAGCTGTGTCTGTCTTGGCTGGAAACATTTAAATACAGGGTGTCAGACGGGAACGCCCAAGTGACTCCATATTTGCAGTTTTACTCACTTCCGCCAGGATAACTTATTATAGGATGAAGCCTTGAGTGGGGCTCAGGGTTGGGAGGGAAGGTGCACAGAAAGCACGAACAAGGTTTGTTGGTCAGATTTATCTGTTTGTTATTGGTGGAAGTCAGGAGGAGTGGGGCAAACAGCAGTACTTGTAAATGCTAAAACTTGGTTTTGTATGGACTGCTCTTTATCTTCATCCTAGTTTTCCTACTCTTTCAAGCACTTCACTGTGAGGAGGACATCTTTCATGGAGTCAGCGAAGGTTCAGTGGTAGAACTCTTGCCCTCCATGAAGGAGACTCAAGTTTTATTCCTGCCAATACATCTCGTGCACGGCCACCACTCATCTGTCAGTGGAGGTCTGCGTGCTGCTATGCTGTGCTGCAATCCCAAAGGTAGGAGGTTTTAATCCTCCAGCTGCTCTGAAGTCGGAAGATGGGCTCTATCCTCCCATGTGACTAACTATCTCTGAAAACCCACCAGAGAGTGAGCTATGAGTTGGTTCCAACTGGATGGTACACAACAACAACCACATGGTGCTTGAACTTTTAGGCCAAGACGGACCATGAAGAAAGGTCTGGATATCTATTCTGGAAAAATCAGGTAAAAACAAATGCTATGGATAACAATGCTCCAGTGTGCAAATGATCAAGGACTGGTCAGGGTTTTGGTCCAATGTGAATGGGGGCACCGTGAGCGAGGGGCTCAACAATGGTAGCTAACAACCACAAAAACTCCTTTGGAAAAAAAGCCAAGGGAGGTGAGGGGACAGAAGCAGCTGCTCCTGACTCCACGCAGCTTAGGTAACTGGAAAGAGCCTGGATCTCCCACAGCGAATGGCTTTTATGATCTATTAATTGAGCACTACCAGCCATTAGTGTCTGAAGAGCAAGGCCCGGTGGCTGGATGTGGAGTCATCTCAGCAGGGAACATACTCTGACCTCCTGCAATCCAGCCAGCACTTTCCCCCTAGCCTTCTTTCTTCTGTGCCCCTGCCTGGCACAAATAGAGCTTTGAGGAGATGTAGGTCCCAAATAAGCAAAGAGGTACTTGCCTGTGGACTGTCTGTAAGACATAGTTAATGTCTTCAATCCAGAATGCACAGAATAAATATAGTAGGGAGATACATACGGTTGAGAAGCAAGAAAAGGAAGGACAATGTATCATAGGCACTTATCAGGGGACAAGTAACACAGAGCAACAATAAGGTTAGATGCTATAACTGAGCATACTGAAAACAGAAAATTCTTCTTCTCACTATACTTTGGCCTTGTTGTTAGGAAGGGCTGTTCCTTGGAGAGGCACATGGTGCCTGGAAAGTTGGAGGGTCAGCGAAGGACAGGAAGACCCTTCACCAAGTGGATTGACATGGTGACTGTTACAATGGGCTCTAGTGTTTCAGACAGTGGGAAGATAGCACAGGATAGGATGGGGTGCAGAGCTTTTGTTCATAGGGTTGTTAGGAGTTTGACTCGATGGCACGTAACAACAACAGCAATCTGTATTTAATTAGGAAAAAAGTAGTAATCAAAAAGGAAGACTTCATAAAGATCATAATCATTTTAGCCATTTGAAATACTGGGTAGTTTAAAGAATGACTCACGCACTTGGCTGGTAACTGAGGGTTGAAGATTTGAGTCTACCCAGGGGTACTACAGATAACAGGCCTGGTAATTTACTACAGCAAAATCTGTCCCTGAAAAGTTTATAAAGCACAGTTCTACTCTGTCACACATGGAGCCACTATGAGTCAGAGATTATTCAACAATAAATGGTCAGGGTTTTTTTTTTTATTTTGTTTTTTAAAAGATGCTAAACTCTATGGGGTTATCACTTCTTTCAGAGAAAAAGTCACTGAAGAGAAAGGACCCTTGAAGACAAGACTATGCATCAGGAGAACTATGCCAATTTGGCTTCTGTGTGAAGTCTGCGTCTTTAAGTGTACATAGGGCCTACAACCTCCCTCCGAACTTCAAGTCCAAGGATGAAACGATGCGTCACAGCACATATTATGAACGTGTGGTTCACGACACTTTGTCAGGGTCAAGAGTGCCATTCCAATCCAACTATGGGTCACTTAAGATTTCCACACACATATTCCATTGTTCCCACAGGATTCTCTGCATCCTCTAGCACATTTGGCAGTTAGAAAACATGCGGGTCGCCCCTGCTGTTCTTATGGATACTTTTGAAAGATCCTGTAATGTTTTTCAGGTGCAAAACATAATGTTACTGCATTAAGAAAAATCTACAGGGACAGACTTTAATCTAAATTTCAAATTGCTTTAAAGATCATAATGAGTATATCATTTTAGTAAAGAGCCAAGTACCCTAATATTGTTATTTTAACAATCTCGTAACAATTATCCAATGCAAGCTTGGAATGAAACTTTTTTAGTCATTTATTAGTGTTGTTGTTGGGTACCATCAAGCTGACTACGACTCACAGTGATCCTAAGAACGATACATCTGAACCTGGCCTGGCCTGGGTCACCTCACCATCTCTGACATACTCAAGCCTGATGCTGCATTCGCCGTCTCAATCCATCTTGTTGAAGGTCTTCCTCTCTTTCTCTGACCTTTCCCCAGCATGATGTCTTTTCCCAACGAGTCTTGACAACATGCCCAAAATATGTGAGAGGAAGTCTCACTATCTTTGCCTCTAAGGAGCACCCTGGCCGCACTTCCTCAAGACAGACTTGTTTGGGTTTTTCTGTAGTCCAGTCAGTAGGACATGTGAAAACAGATGACGTGACAAGGAAATTCACGAGTTCCCTTTGTCTGTTTTGTGCTAAGCAGAACTCTTTTCCACTGATACCAACTATCAGCTCTTTCAATATGCACTGCTCTAATATTTCCTACCAGCTGTCATTCAGTTGATTCCAACTCCATGTCAGTGTGGAACTGTCTTCCAAAAGGTTTCCAATGACTGACTTTTCAGAAATAGAGCAGCCTGTCTTTTTCCTGAGATGCCTCTAGGTGAACTCAAACTGCCAACCTTTTGATTAGAAATTTTATGTACTGACCCATTTGAACCAACCACGCAATCCAATATTTCCTACCAAAATCCAAACCAAGTCCATCGCCTTCGAACAATTCCAAATCAAACAACACTACAGGACACACTAGAACCACCCAATAGGGTTCCCAATCTGTATGGCGAGAGCTCCGATGACCCAGTGGTTTGGAGCTGTGCTGCCAACCCAAAACCACATGGTTTGAGTCCACTAGTTTGCCAGTGAGAAAAAGATGGACAATCTCTTCCTGTGCAATTTACAGCCTCTGAAAACTTGCTGGACAGTAAGTTATGAGTCAGTTCTGATGCAATGAAACATAACAGCAACAACACTCTTTATGAAAGTAGGCCACCTCATCTTTTCCCCACAGAGCACCCGAGGGGTTAGAACCACCAATCTTTTTATTAGCAGCTAAGAACTCAACCACAGCACCACTAAGACTACTTATATATTTTCTACAATAGTTTTAAAATAAACTCAAGCTTGTTCTCTGTGATATCAAATAGGAAAATATGAGCTGAGAAATTACCTATGTATTTGAGATTTCTTATATGGCAGCCACAGTGAACTGTTAAGGAAAAACAGACTGTTTTCTACAAATTTCTCTGAAATTAAACGCTCTCTTGGGTCACCTGTTAATCAAGGAACTGGTTTCTCTAAATCCTTTCACAATAAAATCTGTAAATATTGGAACCTGTGTAAGGCAGAAACTTGTCAGAGAAGGAAAAGAAAAACTATTTTCCAGGAGTGGCATCCACTTCCTAAACAACATGCCTCCAGAAACTCTATGACCTTTGATAAATGTCGATAGTTGTAGAGGGGCTTCAGACTTTTTGTTTATAGGGTCACTATGAGCCATACTCGACTTGAAGGCAGCATCACCGACAGCAGCACTTTGTGGTGACAACACCACAAAGCACAACTACTTTCCAGAGACTCAGATTCATCAGGTTTTTAGAATTCTGAAGAAAAGGAGATTGCAAACTCAAAAATTCTGCTCTAACTTGTGTAAAATATAACCGCCATTTGAGCAATCTTCATGAATAATTAGAGATGTCTGTGGCGATAGGAACAAAAACACATGAGGGGGAAGATAAAGATTCACACAAAGGTATACAGGGTACAGTCAGTTCTAAGAGAAATTAATGGTAAGTTGGAATAAAGCAACAATTTCTCATCTCCTGTATTTTGCCTTAATACAAAAGGATCTGCCAAATCTGATCAAAAACATGGAGCGGAGTTAAAATTTCATTCTAAGAAATTTTACAAAAGTACTAATTCAAGTTATGAATTAGTACTTGGAGCAATTATGCGGGCCTTGTTAGAATGTCTATTTGGCCTATAATTGAAGACATGAATGCATTTCCTTTCTCAGTGTCTGTATCCATGGTTTCGTGTACACTGACCTGCCATACTAACAACACTTAGATTTGTGTCTAATAGCCCCAAAGCATGATGAGTCACACAGATACAAATCAACAAATCAACAACTAATGTGCCTGCCACCACCACCCTCCTCACAGCCTTACCTTTCACCAGAACCTTGGGGACTTTTGTGTGGCTGGCGCAGAAGGCACTGTAGAGCTTGAAGCGGTCAGCGTAATACAGGAAGGATCCCCCCAGTGAGAACAGCACTTTCTGAATGGAATGAGAAAATGCACAGTTAGTTCCTATTGGTGATTATGTATAAATAACAGCAAGACACTTCAGGGAGCTCATAAACCCCAACCCCAACTACCTCTTCCTTTGACCTTCTGAGACCACTTAGCAGAAGGAGTGTGGCTTACAAAGGTGTGTAATACTTGCAAGAGTTGTCTAGTCACTATTTACAGTGAAGATGACACTGACTTGAGAGGCCTGTGTCTTTTAATGACCTAAACGGGCTATCCAAACGTTGAATGGTGCACTGAAAAAGGAAGAAAGCTCCTGAAATACTCTGATGAGGTCCCATCAGGAGGAGGAAGTGACAAGTCCAATAAGGTCTCAGAAGCTCCACCAGCTATAGTGGCATCAACTGACTCCTGCTGCCAAATCCGTGCATAGAGCTGTAGGCCACAGTTTTCAATGGCTCATTTATCAGAAGTATACCACCAGGCCTTTCTTCTATGACATGATGTTCATATTTCCATCTAAAATGCCCAAGTATGGTGGGTCACACAAACATGAACCAATAACTAACAATAATTAACCTGGTCCTCAATAATAATAACAACTAACAATAAGTAACCTGGCTCTCAATGCTCTTACTTTCCATTGAGCAGAAATACCCAACTCTGGGCATTGTGTACAATCTTACTAATCCTGGCCCCACCTTTGTGTGATCAAACGGGGAGGGAGGCTTTCCTGTTATGACTTGTTATGATTTTAACATGCTATTTTTTAAACCTAGGCATTATACATAATTATACATACGTATTTGTGTATGTGTTATTACATGCCATCCCGTCAACTCTCACAGAAAATCCTATGAACAACAGATCTGAGCTTTGCCTCTTCTGCCATCCTCCTCTTCTACGATATACGTGACCTCACTGTTGCATTCACCGTGCCAATTCAACTCATTTAGGGTCTTCCCCTCCTTGTCTTCCTAACAAAATGCCCAAAGTAAATGAGATGGAAGAATCTTTGCCTCCAAAGCACATAATGGTTGCACCTTCTCAAAGATATATGTATTTATTGTTTTGGCAGTCCGTCCATGTTGTTGGTAGGTGTCACTGAGTCAAGCATGACTCAGCAGTGACCCTATGAACCACAAACCTGAAACTTGTCCTATCCAGTGCCATCCTCATCATCTCTGACACACTTGAGATAAAAACACACACACACACACACACACACACAGAGTCAGGCATGTTTCTTTATTGTTTACATTATTTTCTTATCTGCGAGGGGGTGGAGGCTTAGTGGACTGCTACAGGGTCCCCATGAGTTGCCATTTGATTTGATGGCAGTGGGATTAAAAGACTGAAAAGACAAGCCACAAACAGGGAGAAAATATTGACAAATCTTGGATAGTGGTTAAAGAACACTCTCCAGTTCTTTTTGCAGGCAGGGATGGGTGGGATGAGCGTTTCCCCAAGTTCCTGGGTTAAAATGCCCAGCTGCCAACTTTCTTTTCATAGCCTCCCTCTAGCAGGCTTTTGGAGGCTATAAATCATAACTGGAGGAGACAGCCTACCTTTCTCCTGAGATGCTCTTGGTAGATTGGTAACACTAAGAAGCTCAGTGTTGGCAATAGTTGGGCAATTCGCTTTGCCATCAGAGGGCCCTCTCCCAATTCCCAATATCTCTGAATGTATTTATGAATGTGACCTGGTGTGGAAATAGTCTTTGAGTGTGTCACATGCTAACATGAAGCAGGAAGGTCCTAACTCCCATCTAAATAGCCTCCTTCTTTGAAGAAGAGAGAGAAACACACAGGGAGAAGTGAAAACTGTAATCACTGCTTTAACCATTCAAAAGTCATTCATGTCACTCGTATTTACTGAGTGATTACCACACAGTCATCGTTATTGCGTGCCATTGAGCCCATTCTGACTCATAACAATTCCAGTTGACAAAGGAGAACTGCCCCATAGGGTTTTCTAGGCTACAATCTTTACAAGGAATAAATTAACAGGTCTTGAGTTTGAACTACCAACTTTTCAGTTTGTGGTGGAATTCTTAGACAAAATGCCACCAAGATTCTTCACAACAGTGCTACACAGCCATATTTCTACAAGGATCAGAAGAAATGGGTCAAACTGTAAGAGGCCCCATACACATATGGACAAGTTATTTTCAGCAAAAGTGCAAAAGACATTCAGTGGAGAAGAAATGAAAGGAGAGACTTTTCAGCAAATGGTACTAGAAAAACTGTATCCCCGTATGTCAAACAAAAGAACCCTGACCTATTTTTCACACTACATACAAATTTAACTCAAAATAAATCACAGGCTTAAATTAAAACCGCAAAATTTTAAAAACTTCCAAGAGAAAGCATCAAATCCTTATGACCTTGATTTAGGTGACGATTTCATAGATATAACACCACAAGGGATAAAAAAAGTAAAACTGAATACATTGCCCTAGCTGGAATTTAAAAATGTTTGTTCTTTACATGACACTATTAAGATGAAGGACCCCTGGTAGCACAGTGAGTAAGGTACTGGGCTGCTAATTGCATGGTTAGCAGTTTGAGTCCACCAGCTGCTCTGTAGGAGAGAGATGGGCAGTCTCTTCCTGTAAAAATTTAAAGCCTGGAAAACCAGTAGAGGGTCATCATGAGGCACCATTTGATTTGATGGCAGTGGGACTCAGAGAATGAAAAGATAGGCCCCAGACAGGGAGAAAAAAAATTTACAAATTATATATCTGCATAAAGAACTTCCAAAGGAATATGCACAGAACCCTAGAAAATCAACAAAACCAAAATAAATGGGCAAAAGATTTGTACATCCACTTCATCAAAGATATTATTGTTGTTGTTACGTACCATCATCTAGTTAGAACTGACCCATAGCTGACACTATGTGGGTTTTCAGAGGTAGTAAATCAATAGCAAAGGAGGAGATTGCCCATCTTACTCCTGTGGAGTAACTGGTGGATTTGAATTGCCACAGAGACACTGTCTTTGGGTTGGCAGCTCAACTCCCTATAAACTATGTCACCCAAGCTCCCTAAATGAATACTAGATCACAACTGAAAGGAATGAACTATTGATATATACTTCAACATGTATGCACCTCAGAATAATTATTCTAAGTCAAAAAAGCTGGGAAAACAAAGTACCTACTATATGATTTCTTGAATCTAAAATTCAAAGGAGTCTGTAGTGACCAAAAGCAGAGCACAAGCTGCCTGGCAAAAGAAGGTGTGGGACGGCAGGAGAGAGGGACCACAGGGGGCAAGAAAAAGCATCTGAGAGTGGAGGGTTACAGTCAGCAAGTCGGCTGCCGTGACCTCCTCACAAGTGCACACACGTTAAAATTTATCAAACTGTATGTTTTGTACATGTAATGTAAAATGTTTTCAAAAAGTGTACAATGGACACACAAACCCTCACCAGTGCACACGAATCAGTGACTGCCCTGACTGTATGTGCAGCAAACCTCTGCAATAAAGGCAAGCCAGCCAGAGAGGTGGGAGCAAGCCACAGAGGTCCTAACGCCCTAGTCACACGTCCTCATGAAGGCCTGAGGACACTGTGTTCTGGAAGACTTTCTTCCTCTGGAATAATGATAACCATTTCCATTAAGCTACGTTTCCTAACACAGAATTAAGTAATGTAGTTACTGGGGGAGACCCGGGCTGATATTCTAATTTATTAGCAGCAAACATAGTAAAGGCCCCTTCATAAACGGAATGAAAGGCCAAAGTTGGTACATCTTCCAATGCAGAAGCAAAGAGATGCACGAGTTTAACACAAGCCAGCGACACTGGCTGTAGGTCAGCCAGACAAATAAGATACAGCCAGTGCCTTTCTCAGACACTTGTCAGGAGCTAGTCCACTAGGGCAACCCAGTGCAGGCCCAACCATAGTAAGCATAAGACACTCTCAGGGAGAGCGTAATGTCACTTGTGGCGTGTTAGCAGGGGACTCCACGTGACCTACAAGGTAACCCACCATGACATTATAAAAACAAACAAATAAAAAATTGCCACCAGGCTGACTCTAACTCAAAGTGACTCTATGTGTGTCAGAGAAGAATTCTGCTACCTATGGTTATCAATGGTCACTTTCTTAGAAGAATATCACCAAGTCAGTCTTCTGAGGTGACTCTGGATAGACTTTAACTTCTAACCTTTCACCTAGTAGCCAAACACATTAAATATTTGCAATAACCACAAAGGATTTAGGAGTCCTGGTGGCACTGTGTGTTATTTGCTGGGCCGCTAATCACAAGGTTACTGGTTCAAATTCTCAGAAACCTAAAGATAGATCAGCATGAGTTGGAATTACCTTGCTGACAGTGAGCCAGGGCACTGCGAAAGCTTTACGTGATGTGAACAAGCGACTTACCTTAAATTGATCAACTTTCTCAAGCTTTTCCAAGTCAGGTACCAGTCTCACCCCATCTTCCAGAGTTTTAAGGAACTCCACTTGAAATTCTACCATTTCAGTTAAATTCCCAAAGAGCACATCAAGCTGAAAAGTGAAAAAGTATTTAGTATTTCATTCATGTTTAGAAATTTCATTTGTACCTGATTACCAAGTCTTCTTATCAACAGTCGGTAATGAAGATAATGATCCCACCACCAGAGGATGAGGCAGCTCAGACTGACCTACTTATGACAATTAACAAACTCCAAATGATGTCCTAGTGTGTGTGCTGCCCACCTTCTCGTGTTCACGAGAAGTCAAAATTACAAAATGTCCCTCACAAAGTGAACATAAATCACCATACCTCGTCTTGGGTGAGAAAAGTTTCTTTTTGAAGAGGTTTCAGGTATCGTTCCATGAGACAATTTAAGTCCTAAGGGTCAGGAGGAAATATTATTAATGTATATTATGACAAATGTAACATCTAAAATAATACCTAAAAGATTAGGATGAAGGGAACTAGTTTATGTCGCAAACATTAATATTTATGTAAAGGCTCCCAAGAGTCTTTCAAGTAGAATAATCTGCATGTAAGAATAGTAAATATTTTAGGATTTTCAAGTTGTATGGTCTCTGTCACAATTATACAACTTTGCTGTCACAGCACAAAGGTTAAAAACAAATAAACAAAACATTTATACAAAAATGAATGAATATAACTAGGTTCCAATAAAACTTGATCTGCAAACAAAGGCACTAGAGAGGATTTGGGCTAACGGTCATAATTTGTTGGTCCCTGATTTAAAGAGTAAAATAGATAATTAAAAACAGATCACACTGTTTCAACGTGGGAACTATAACTAAATGTCAGTAGACGTGATGATATAAAGAAAACAGATTGAATTACCCTTTTGCCTAGACTCAAATTAGCTTATAAAGCTAAAGCATTCATTTGTCAAGCCCAAATTCACTTTCAGTATTACCACAATAACATATTTAGAAAGGTCAGGAGGAAAAACTACCATCACTTCCTTTCTCTGTCTGTAATTCAATTACATTAGTGTACTTCCTTCAATCAAAATAAGCCAAGAAAATAACGTAGTTGCCATCAAGTACATTCTGACTCAGCGTGCGCCCACATGTGGCAGAACAGAACTGTGTGCCACAGGGTTTCCAATGGCAGAGAATTTTAGAAGTAGGTCCTGTCAGGCCTTTACTCTGAGGCTCCTTCTGAGTAGACGTCACACCTTAACCATTCAGTTAGCAGCCAGGTGCATTAACCACTGGCATCATCCAAAGACTCCTAAAACATAACTAATGATGGTAGCATTCAGAATAAAGGGCAAATTCCCTACGAAAGATCAAGGCACTCTTCATGCTATGACCTCGTTGGCAGCCACAGTTATAAAAATGATATGAATATATAATTAAAATATATATATATTATATGTAATATATATACAATAA